GTCATCCAGGAGCCACTGCACTCAGAGCAGCTGGTAAGAACTCCATCTCACTCCCTAAGCCTCAGAAAAACATCTGGGAGCCAGGGACATCCTGGGCACAGCAGCTACCCAAACCCCACCCCTCCGGAATTCCACTTCCCTTCGGCCTCTGCCTGGTCCCTTGGACTGGAGCAGACACAGAGTCGGTCTGCTCATGTCCTGTGGAGAAACTGAATCCTGAGTCACCCAGGAGCCACAGCACTCAGAGCAGCTGGTAAGAACTCCATCTCACTCCCTAAGCCCCAGAAATACATCTGGGAGCCAGGGACATCTAGGGCACAGCAGCTACCCAAACCCTGCCCCTCCGGAATTCCACTTCCCTTCGGCCCCTGCCTGGTCCCTGGGACTGGAGCAGACACAGAGTAGGTCTGCTCCTGTCCTGTGGAGAAACTGAATCCTGAGTCATCGAGAAGCCACTACACTCAGAGCAGCTGAAACTGAATTCTGAGTCATCAGGGACCCACTGCACTCAGAGCAGCTGGAGCCACTGCACTCAGAGCAGCTGACACAGAGTTGGTCTGCTCCTGTCCTGTGGAGAAACTGAATCCTGAGTCATCTAGGAGCCACTGCACTCAGAGCAGCTGAAACTGAATCCTGAGTCATCGAGAACCCACTGCACTCAGAGCAGCCGAGGAGCCACTGCACTCAGAACAGAAGGATTACCAGATCCAAGAGGTGGCCTGAGTCCCAGGAGTTCTTCCACCCGGGAGATTAGGGGCATAAGACCACAGAGACCTCTGGACTCCGAGGAGCTCTGCAATAAGCAAGATAACTGGAAATACAGATTCCAATCTTACACAGAGAGGGCAGGTACCACTAGAGTTACCAAGATGGCGAAAGGCAAGCGCAAGAACATAAGCAACAGAAACCAAAGTTTCTTGGCATCATCAGTGCCCAGTTCTCCCAATATAGCAACCCCTGAACACCCCTTCACACCTGAAAAGCAGGATTCAGAATTAAAATCACTTCTCATGATGATGATAGAGGATTATAAGAAGGAATTAAGTAACTCCCTTAAAGAAATACAGGAGAGTACAAGTAAACAGATAGAAGCCCTTAAAGAGGAATCACAGAAATCCCTTAAAGAAATGCAAGAAAACACAAAGAAGGAATTAAACAAAAACATTCAGGATCTGAAACTGGAAATAGAAACAATAAAGAAAGTTCAAAGGGAGACAACCATGGAGATAGAAAACCTAAGAAAGAGATCAGGAGTCACAGACGCAAGCATCACCAACCGAATACAAGAGATAGAAGAGAGAATCTCAAATGCAGAAGATACGGTGGAAAATATTGACACAGTTGTCAAAGAAAATGAAAAAAGCAAAAAACTCCTAACTCAAAACATCCAGGAAATCCAGAACACAATGAGAAGACCAAACCTAAGGATAATAGGTATAGATGAGAATGAAGATTCCCAACTTAAAGGGCCAGTAAATATCTTCAACAAAATCATTGAGGAAAATTTCCCTAACCTAAAGAACAAGATGCCCATAAACATACAAGAAGCCTACAGAACACCAAATAGACTAGACCAGAAAAGAAATACCTCCCGTCACATAATAATCAAAACATCAGATGCACAAAACAAAGAAAAAATACTAAAAGCAGTAAGGGAAAAAGGTCAAGTAACATATAAAGGCAGACCTATAAGAATTACACCAGACTTCTCACCAGAGACTATAAAAGCCAGAAGAGCCTGGACGGACATCATACAGACCCTAAGAGAACACAATTGCCAGCCCAGATTACTATACCCAGCA